TACAATGTCCTTACTTATTATTCTTCCTATAATATCCATTAATACACTGTTGTGAAAGATAATAATAACAATTACAAAATACTAAATGGAACTAATTATGATCTGATGCTTGATAATTAATGAAGCTGGTGAAAACTAGTAATTTATTTTACGTTATAACATAGTAAATGTTTATAAAATTACAAAAATTAAACTACTGCATGTACCAATAATAACCACATCTAATTACGTCATTGACTCACTGGAATAAAGAAATGATTAAGTTATTAATTTTATTTGAAAATAAAATAAACTATCAATGTTACTTTTATTTAATTGAAAAAAAAATCAAATTTGCATTACATTATCTTTCATGGTTAATAAGTTTAAATAGTGATAATATTATAAAAACATAATTAATATCCTATTAAGTGTTTTATATTAAGGTATTGTTTGAGATTTTTTTTTATGGAGTGGGATGGCTTCTGCACCATTGTTTGAGAAATTTTTTTAAAAGGTGAACAAAATCAGATCATGTCAGATTTCATAAGGAACCTGCAATCTAAGGGCGGATGATTATAAATAATAAGATTCAAATTTTTTTGAGAGGCCTGATGAGCGAGCATGTCCGCACATCTAGAGTGAAATGATTTGAGATAGCTTTCCAAATCATCCTAGTTATTTTAAACCCATTTTTTTACCATCCAATTTGAGGGGTCAAGGATGGAATAATCAAATATAAATAACATTATTTTAAAACTATCCTCATTCTTCCCATTTCTTCTCACTCTTTCACTTTCTTTCATTCCAATATTAAACAACATAATTATATCCAATTTAAATATATTAATTTTATGATAATTTTTAAATACAATCATTTATTCTTCCAATAACAATTCTAAATAATGGGATTTTACCTTCCATTTCACTCTATCCTACTCCACTTCATTTCATTAGTGATCATTCTTTTCGATTTCATTATATACTCTCAAATATATCCTAAAAACTAAATAATTTTTCTAGAAAGCTTTATAATAAATACTAAAGGGATTATATATTATAAAGTATTCTCTTTTGTCCAAAATATAAACATTTTTTAATAATAATCAGCCTAATAAAATTCTTATTCTCATAAAAATATATATTATTTTTTCTCCTTAGTTCAAATTTATAATGAATGCAGAGAAGGTTATAAATTTACAAATATAAAAATATACTCCATCCATTAAAAAATATAAGATATTTTTAACTATATCTCACCCTTCAATAAAGTAGTTACCTATATTTTAACTAACCCTAACTTTTTATATCTTTTCCTATTAAATATCTTACAATAAATATAAAATCATTATCAATAGGGATATTTTGAAAAACAAAAGGCAATGATTACACCTTAAAAAACTAAAAATACCTTCTATTTTTAAATATTTAACTCTTCAAAAAATACTTTATATTTTTGAATGAAAGGGATATAGTAATAAATATAAAAAGTAAAATGCGAATTTTTTTTGCAAGTGCTAAATTACTTATGTTTTAAAACAAGATTAATGGAAAGAAAATACCTACTTATATTCTAGGGGAAATTATAACAAAGGACTTGGAGGCAATGGTATTTATTGGAGAGGAGCTTGAAATCTCTAATTATTTAGAAAGACCAAATATTAAAATGTAAATTCAAAAATACTAGATTATCCTAGGCTCTAGTCAAATCTTCTGCATTCTTGGAGATACACAGTTCTCATAGTACTTAGAATCAAAGTCAATAGGAATCACAACTTCAAATTGAAAACCTTAATACCAGTGCTATCATCGCTTCTCTTCACCCAAAACCCACCTTTCTCATTCCACCGTTCAAGGGAATGAGGCTGAAGAGTGCCGAGGAAGATTCCCCTGCCCATTGATTTTTAACATTTTTGCTTGCTTCTTAATTGAATGTAAATTATAGTTGCGAATATTGCATTTTATTTTAATTCTTATAAATAAATAAGATAACATCTATAATAAAATAATAAAAAAGAGACAATGGACAATAGAAAATAGTAAAATTATAAAAGCAATCTCTATAAAATAATAAGAATGAAAATAAAAAAATATTTTATAACAAAAAAATAAATATATAAAAAGTTAAAAGGTCTTAGATATAAAAATAAAAAAATAACATAAATACAATCAAGCTATATTACAATCTAATATAATAATGAGTTATAAATATTTGAATATCTCAAAATAACATCATGATGATGATGATGATGTAATTAATCTAATATTGTGATTCAAAAACTTCAAGATAATATAATCTAATATTTAATATTAAAATTTAAAGATTGTAAAATAATATAATAATAAATAAGATGACAATTAATATTCAATCTTTAAATAATAATAATAATAATAATTTAAGAATATATAAAATTATTGATATGGATCATGGTATAATTGAGATTATAGAAAAATCTTAAATGTATAGGTTTATATATATAAAAAAAAAAGTAAAGATAGAGTAGGAGGTTAGAAAAACTTAAAAGAAGGAAAGAGAAAACAATAGAGGTTGATTGAGATTTATAAAGATAATTTTATTAAACCTTAGTGCTTTAAGAATATAAATCTTTGTTTGTGAGCCTAATTCAAATCTCTACTAACTGCTATATATTGCAATGCTTGGGAGCCTAACTTGAATCTCTACTAACTACTACGTATGTTACAATTCTTTTGCCTGCTCATGATGGCATCTGATCTGTAATAGTTCCCCCCCCCCCTTTCTCTCTCCATGGTTATTGATTCCTCTGTCTTCATGCATACGGTCCCACAACTACTGGTTGCTACTGTTCACTCTCTTCAAAGATAAAAAGGCATGGACATTTACATGCATTCAATTTGTTAGCATCAATGATGACTGATTAATCGCTTGCATGGCCTCACGGTACCGTCTTGTTTTATGAAAACATACGATGGCTAAGAATCTTGATATTATAAGTTAATTCGGAGATACATGACGTGCGGGAATGTTCAACGGAAATTATAGGAAAGAAGTTTCAAGATCTAAATCTAAGGTTGATATCTATTGATTCTTTATTGCAAGTACATATGATATTCTAATCATTCAAAATTATTTTTACTGCATGAGACTAATCATTTAAAATTATCATGTGCACATAGCTTAAAATTATTAATTGTATGAGATTTTTAGAGTTCTCACACGTTTATAAATCAGTTATCCCAGGCGACAATAAATTATTGCTCATACATATTTCTAAGTGTTTAAAAATAAAATGTTTTTCTAAAAGTAAATAAAATAAAATAAATTGTTTGGAAAGATAATTTCAGGAATTAAAATATTTTTTGTAAAATTATCTATTAAGATTTTTTCATAAATAAGAAATAAATTATTTTCATAAATAAAAAATCAATATTAAAATTATTTTATAAAAAATTAATAATCATTATTTTTCTTCAAGCTTTCTCAATCAAAAGACATACATTTTTACTTTGAATTACATGAGATTTGATCCCTTAAAAGGGTATATAGGTTTTAGAGTTTCATTTTAAGTCAAGTTCAACTTGTAAATAAATAAAAAAATTTCCTTCTAATTTTCTTACTTTTTTATATTATTTTTTAAGAATAATTAATACTCTCTCAGTCCCAAATTTTTAGCAAAATTACACATATTAATAAAATTTATTAAATATATTTTACAGCTTTACCTTTTTAAGATAATATTTTTAAAAATATCCCTCATTTAATATTCTATTTGTAAAAAAATATTAAAGGGAGAGAGAAAATATATAAAAAAGTTACTATTAAAAAAGTATCTTTAATAAAACTCTATTTTTTTAAAAAAATCTTATATTTTAAAATGTTAAATTTTTTTTAAAAATATTTTATAATTTAAGATGGAGGGAGTATATTCTTTTAAGGTCATATAAATTTATATTGTTAATTTAAAATAAATATTCTTATAGATGGATATTGCAGGATGCCAAATACCTTTCTCTACGTAACCAACTCCCATTCTTATAACATAGTAATGTTTATTATTTATGCAAGCAAAAGGAAATGATTTAGATTCTATCATTAACACACACACATTGAATAGTGAACTGTACGCCCCAAGTCCAGAAAGGAAGAACGAAGAAGAGAAAGGCGAGGGGACCAGAAGAAAGGAAGATTCATCGGGTTGATCGCGCAAATAAGGGCATAACTGCCTGTTAGTTATATATTTTGGTCCTTTAACATAATTAGAAGTTTTTATGGTCCCCTACAATAAATATTGATTGGTTTAGATCCTTCCGTATAATTTTCCCTATGTTCCAGTTGGAGGGAGTATCCACTATTCGGCAAGAGGATTTGCGCCAACAGTTTTCTTTTCTTTTTTTTTCTTTTAAATAAATCTGTTTGACAATGTATTTTAAAAAAATGTTTTAAAAATAAAAAATAAAATATTATTATAAAAATAAAAAAAATGGAAACATTTTTGAAGTATTTTGAAATTATTACTCTACAAAAAAAAATATTTATTTTAGGTTAAATGGTAAAAATATCTTTAAAATTTTTTTAAAAGTGCCTAGTATCTTAGTTTTTTTTTTAAAGCATTTTTGTCCAATCATTAAAAATTTTTTATATTGATCGTTAATTGAAGTCTGATAAGATATTTTATGATTCTATCCTCTTTCATTTATATGCTTTTGAGTCTTCATTTTCATTCATTGAAAAAAAAAATTAAAGAGTTTACTGAAGAATGAAATCAGAGATTAAACATATAAGGAAGGAAAGAAAAAATACAAAAATATCTTTAATTAAATTGAGTTTAACAGTCAATATTAGAGATTTTTAATTGTGGGGCTAAAATAATTTTTGTTAAAATTTTTGAAACAAAAATGTTATAAAACAAATTAAGATGTCATGCATCCTGAAAAGAAAAAAATTTTAAAATATTTTTATCCTCTAACTTTTTATAAAATAATTAAAAAAAATTTCATACAGCACCTTCGTTCCTGGGAACATTCATTACCCCATTATTCTCCGAAACCAACGGCGGGTGTTAATGTTATTGTATAATGACTATGATCCCACAAGTTCCCGACGAAATTTTCGGATCCTCGCGCGCGTGCAATACACACACAAATAAATAATCTCTTTTGCAGTTTCGATGATACAACAGCAATCCTCTCCATCGAATCATCGTGATAATTTTCTGATCAAGACATCGAACCAGCGATAATCCCCTTCTCCGTTAAACATGTCTGGGTATCCAAACACGCCCCCTGGGTACGGATACGGGTACAGTGCTCCTCCGACGGCGAACCCGTATGGCGGACCTCCGACTTCCAACCCTTACGGCGCACCGCCTCCTGCTCAACACTACTCTGCCAACCCGTACGGTGGGCCTCCGCCATCGCATGTACAGAGCACCCCTTATGACCAGTACTCTGCCAGTGCCCCTTATTCGTCATCTTCTGGACAGATTAAACCCCCCAAGGATTATTCTCATTCCTATGGTCGCGGTTACCAGCCATCGGCCACGCCACCGTATGGGAGTCCCTTCGCGTCACTGGTGCCGTCGGTGTTCCCTCCGGGTACGGATCCCAATGTCATCGCGTGCTTCCAATTGGCGGACCAGGACGGCAGTGGGTTGATCGATGACAAGGAAATGCAGAGGGCGCTTTCTTCGTATAACCAGAGCTTCAGCCTGAGGACTGTTCATCTTCTCATGCATCATTTTACCAACACTAACACCAAGAAGATTGGTGCGTTCTAACTTTCACTTTCAATTTTCCTTGGTTTAATACAATAAGGGGGTGGTTGATGAAAGGTTACAAAAGATCCTATCAGTTCTGGCTGCTGATTAACTGTGTACTATCTTGGGTATCTGTAAACCCGTATTACTAAAAAAAAAAAAAAATCCTTGGTTTAGTTTGCAATTGGATTTAGATTTAGGTAGTTAGGTTTTGTTCTGCTTCAGCCGGAGGAGAGGACTTTTTGGGCGAATGCTGAATGATGCTGAAATGCGCGGCCTGTCCGCCCATTGACGGTCGGAAGAGGCGGTTTCCAGTGGATGTCATTGCGTTCGTTCGGACTCGCGGGGCTTGTGTGCGATTCCTTGATGCCTGCTGGATTAGCATGCTCATATCATTGCATCGGGTTCGAAATACGTTATGGCTCTGCTTTGTTAGTGGTTTCCTTCTCGCCGCTGGAAAAAGGGATCCCTGGTTTGGCATCAATTTATGCTTTGACTTTTATGGGACGACTGCCTTATCACATCTGCTGCGGTGGATGCCACATCCCGTAGTATTATATACAAATACTGCATCAAGTGATGAAAATCAAAGAATTGAATTTGTCGTTTCTTCGTTCTCTGCGGTTAAACTTTACCACTTGTATATTTCCTCTGTGAAGTAGGAGAGACTTCATGTACACGGGCTCCATTTGTTTAAGAGAGAGGATTTTGATGAGAACAGAAATGAGGAAGAGAAATGAATGATACGGAATTCTTTATCTTATTTTTGGTATTGGTATGACCAGAAAAACAAAAGAATTTCCATGCCTTTTAAAACTAGTTTTTGTTCGTTCCCAAAATTTGTAATTGAAAGGGGGGAGTATATGTACATGTTAGTCAAGATATTGTCTCCCCTCCCTTAGAAATCTAGAATGGTTAAGGCGAATCAATCATTATCAATCTAGCCGATAGTTTCCATGATGTGTTGTCTACTTCTTGATTGTTGGAATTCCTTGACCATTTCATCTCCTCTCATTTTTTGAATTCTGGCCATTTCATCGCAGGACCCAAGGAATTTACGGCTTTATTTTACAGTCTGCAGAACTGGAGGGTACTTCTTTGTTCATTTCTGCTTGACAATTGTTTTTTTCTTTCTAAATCTCTTCTGCAGTTGTTCTGACTTGTTGTTAACATCAGGGCATTTTTGAGAGATTTGATATGGACAGGAGTGGCAGAATTGATTTGCCTGAGTTACGAGATGCTCTGTTGAGTTTGGGGTTTGCAGTTTCACCTGCGGTATTGGACTTGCTTGTCTCCAAGTTTGACAAAACTGGTGGGAAAAGCAAGGCTATAGAATATGACAACTTCATTGAGTATGTTTTGCTGTGCTTGTGTTTATTTATTTGTTATTAAATACCATGTTAAAAACACTGCATAAAATGAATCTTCTTGTACTAATACTTCTCCCTTTCCTGATTTGCTATTGCTAGGTGTTGTCTCACTGTCAAGGTGAGCTCCAAAGCCTCTTTGAATTATGATTTTCGTAGTTTTTGCAATGAAAGTATACCATTGTTATCTGCTTCCAAAGTGTAAGAATGGATGTTGCATCTGTTAGCGTACCATACTATTGCTTTGGTACTTGCTCAAGGAAATAAAAAATGCTACTGCTTTAGCCCTACTTTACTAGTACTAGGGCTGCATGGGAAAGGAAAGAAACAAAATGTCAGCGAGAAGGCAATACGCTGTACTGGTGAAAAATTTTGCTTGAAATAGTTCTTTCTTTTTTGTCACGATTTGCGGTGAACACTAGAAAAACTTAAAATTTTAAATAATGAACTTTTTTTCTCGTGTTAAGTTTAAACAGTGAACAATGTTTTTAGTGTTATCTAAATGGAACATTCTTAATCTTGTATTCCAAAACCAATAAATCATTGTTATCTGGTAATTAAATGGTTGATGTTGATTTCACAACGAATGATGTGGATGTATGTTGCAGGGTCTAAGCGAGAAATTTAAGGAGAAGGATACATCTTACTCTGGTTCTGCAACCTTCACGTACGAGTCATTTATGCTTACTGTTTTGCCTTTCCTTGTTGCATGAGAATCATTTATTGGATGCTGTTAATGTATGGTCTTGCTGTAGTTTGGGAGCTTTCTAGCTTTTTGTACTATACTGTTGTATATCTAGCTTCAGTAGTTCAGTGTGGGATTTTTGCAGCTTGGTGACAAAGGATCGCTACACTGTTTTGTCAAGTCAATTTTTTTTTTTTCCCCGGGAGCCGACAAAATTCCGAACAGGTTATAATGACGTCATTTTAATGAGTCAATGAAAATAGGCATGTATGACAGAAAAGTTAACTGTGGATCCAATTTGAAAGGGGGAAACCGTACGTGTTGGCGCAGATTGGGCGTGTTTTCTAATATGGTAAGCGAGTAATTCGAAACTTTGAATCAAGCCTGATGAGTTAATATGAATTTGGCTCCAAAAAAATGTTAGAGCGAGGCTGAAGGAAATTGCACTCTTTTCCAATTGGACTTGCTCAAGCCGACGAAAACATTTAGACTAGGCCCAAGTATCAAAAGCTTCTATATTCACACGCACACGCGCGCTACATATTAAATATTAATTAATTATTTGAGATTTAGTTCATTTTGTACTATGCTTCTTCTAGGATTTTATTTATAAATTATTTTTAACATGTTTTATTATAATTCAGGAAAATCTTAAAATTCTTTAACCTTATTTAAAAATTTAATAAATTTTTTATTTTACTTTTAAAAAATATATATTTTAATAATATATTTTTTTTCAACATTTAGTGAAAGATAAAAAGAAAAACTTATGATAAAAATTTAATAATGTAATTTAAAAAAATTTTATCCCTCTATAAATAAGACCAATGGCCATATTGGAGTACATTGTTGCATTCGTATCATTTTAAATTTTGACAATATCTTTAAGAAAATTTTGAAAATGTATTTTATCTTAATTTTTAAACTTCAAAACCCATAATTTATTTTGATAATCATACCCATAATTTTTTAAAAGAAATAAATTTGAGTCTTGTATATTTTTATAAGGGTCCAAAAGAGTATATTTTTCTTATAACAATGATTAATTTTAAGCTAAAAGTTGAAATTGATTTTGAAAAGCCAAACTAATAATTCGGGTATTTGAATTGTTCAAAAACTTGAGTTGTTAAAACCAAACTCTAAGGATATTGTTGAGCAAGCTAGATCTTTTCTTTCTCTGGAAGATTAAATTGAATTTAATCATATTCTTAGAGATGATAATAGGAATACTGATTATCTAGCTAAACTATTTCACACTTTAGAAGTTAATTTTTGCCTTTTGATCATCATCCATATCTAAATTTTGGCATGGAAGATGATGAAAGAGGGTAGGCTTTTTTGGTTTCTTGATGTATTTGGTTTCCTGTTTTTAGTATTGTGTTTTAGTTTCCATTTAAAAAAAAAAAAAAAGAAAAAGGGTTAAGGTGCAAAAATACTCACCAAGTGGTCGATTAGGAGTATTCAATAACCTAAAGTGAGAAAAAGGACAAATATATTCATAACGTTACCAAAGCTGATGCAAAATTGACTAAATCATTAACTTGCTTTAACACCATTAGTTTCTGGTATTAAATGTTGACTATGTTTGCCACATATCAGTATTTGTTGATATGGAGTAAAAAGAGGGTAAAAATACTCATGAAGTTGTCAGATAGGAGCATCTAGTAAGAAAAGGGGCAAAAATATTTATAATGTTACTAAAGTTGGTACAAAAGTAACAAATCTATTAAATCTTTTAAATATTGATCATTTAATTGACACCTAAGCATAAATTAACCATTTTTCATTGACATTGACACAATATTCCTAGTTGAAATTTTACGAAAGTTGATCGACTATCATATGAATACCATGTGAGAATACGTTGTTTTAATTGAACAGCAAGTTAAATCATTTTTTTCTTTGCAAAGTGGTGAAAGCCAATTGAGGATTTTAAACCTTATCATAAACAAAATTGCTTAAGGTTGTGCCAATGTTTTTAAAGTAGGTGGAGACATGGAGTGCTTGCGTTCTTTGCAGTAAGCCACAACCTCTTCGTTCTCAATCTTTAATTGTGTGCAACCTATCTTACTGTGTTGAATCTCAAGTTTTGTAGACAAGAAAAATGAGTAAAGAGGAAGAGAGGAAGGGGGTGAGATACATAGCGATAGAAAGAAACCATGCAATATGAATTTTTGACGGATTAATCATTATTGCACCTACTAAAATAACGTTTTAGATACTCAAATGATGACCAATCAACCTTTGTAAAATTTCACTTTGAAATATTTTTTGTTCACATTAGCAAAAAAATTATTAATTTTTATTTAAGTATTAGTTAAACGGTCAATATTTAAAGAATTTAATGGATTGATTATTTTTGTACCAACTTTGATAATGTTTTGAGTATTTTTATCTTTTTTTTTTACTTTAAGCTACTAGATACTCTTAGTTGATGACTTCGTGAATATTTTTGTCTCATTTTGAATTCACAAAAGCAAAGACAGATACGTAACAAGCATAGTTAACATTTAACACCGAAAGCTAACAATGTTAGGGCAAATTAATGGTTTGATTATTTTTATATTAATTTTAATAATATTATAAGTATTTTTGTCAGTTTTTTTATTTCAAGTTACTTGATGCTCTTGATTGACTATTTAGTAGATATTTTTCCATCTTAACTGAAAGAAAAAGGAACCAAACAACGCTATGAGGTATGAGCTTTCATGCATGAATAAACTCACCTGCAAAATTACCAACTCTAATTTTCAGGGATTATTCAAAATTAAAAAAAAAATCCGGCGAACATCTTTAAAGAACAATCATATTACTGTACCTTTGAAAAAAAAAAATCAATGTCTTTCTTCAATGCCCAAGATCCAGATTACAGAGGACGACTCTGAGAATAAGAAACTAATGCGACGGTTCAGTGCAGTCAAAATTTTAAATTTTGAATGCAGGCCAGAGTGGTGCAGTTATCCTATAATTGCCTGATGCTCTATTATTAACAGCGAGGAGACGACTTTACTTCTCCATAGGCACACAATTACCTTGTCCCTTAGACAGATAGAAACCGTAATAAAATCATTCTTAAATGGCACCTCATGCCAGACACATACAATATATACGATCGAACCACTACAACGTCTTTTCCGTGTCATTGAGTTATTACGTACACAAATACACTGTGCTAGTCATTGGTTGGGGTTGGGCACTACCCTAAACAAAAAATTGAAAGTGATCTGTATTGATCAAAACAAGATTTTCTTGTCTACCTTCCCAATCCTTTTGTCTTGGCTGCTTGATGCTACATCACTTCCTATAACTCCGCCTGCAATATCCACCATAAAGATCTTATTAGAGAAATGGCCCGAGTTACTTTCAATTGGATCAAGAAAGGAACAACTGTTACCTGAGACGAAAGAATCAAACCACTTATTTCACACTATCATCAAGCTAAGGTCTTCATCACGAGTGGGGACAAGAAGCGTCACTTAAACACTTTAATTTGGACCGGGGATGTCAACGATCCCTTCAGTATCCTCTCACCATCGAGAATATGAATTTCCATGTGTCTTCCAATGATCCCGTCCGTGTCGTCTGTTAGAACTTCTATCAGAAGACCTATAAACATCAGACGGTCTTCCAAACCCATTAAAATCAGAAGATCTGCGGCATGTGCCTCCTCTGTTGGTTTGCTTAGCTTTTCTTATCTCCTCTTCAAAATCATATTCTGAGCGCTATAATCAAAGAAAGCAGTATATCAAATTTAAAATCAACGCTGCGTAAGGCACAATAGATCTTTATTGAGAATTAAGGAGCTCAACTACAATAAATTTTCAGGCAAAAAAAAAAAAAATTAACAAAATTTTAAACTCTTCCCAACACCATTGAGGAAGAGAAACTGAAATGAAAGGAGAAAGCCTGCTTTCCAGTAGATTTATGTGACGAGCACAAGCACAACGAAAGAGTCCATCTCAAGAGATTAGCTTCATAAGAGTGCCCCCCAAACCTATAATTCCAGTGGGCACTTCACTCGGCCACGGCCGGATAAAACCCTCCGTGGGCAGCTCTTTCCGAGATCACAAGTCCAAAGGAAGTGATACCACCACTCAACAGATTAGCCTATTGGATAGAAGAATCCTTTCAACTTATAAATCCCACACCACTTGTAAGGTTCTTCAATGTGGGACCTGTGACAATTTCACACCTCAAACTGGCATTTAGAAGGTATGTTAATTTCTCAGGAAAAGAAATTTTCACTTTCTTCTATACTAGCTATTGCAGGACATGGTCAGGATGGGCTGGATTAATTCAGAAAATCAGTTAGCATGTAGATTCACAAAGCCATGCTTCTTTGTTTAGCCTGTTGTAATAAACTAACGGCATAACATGCTTCCGCAGCTACACAAGAGAGTACATTTTTCAGAATAAAGTTCTTTTACTTGATTAAACACTACACCGCTACAGCCTACAAATATAGTACTGTGAGCTGATCCGGTACCATTTGTCCCCCCTACCCCACCCAAAAAAAAAAAAAAAAATTCTTACTCCCTCTCCACTCCCAAAACTAGAGACATTCAAAGAAGAAACAATATAAATTTGCCAAGATAAAAAAAAAAAAAAAATCAACACTCAAGCTTGAGTGGAACGATACATTATGAATAATCAGTCAGTTTAGTAATTGCCTTGGTAGGATCAGAAAGCACAGCATATGCCTCTCCAATCATTTTGAAAAGCCTATCAGCATCCTTGTACACCTCCTGTGAAATTTCCTTCCAGATTTGGCCTTCATCTCCAGCCTCACCTCTTGCCAGCAACTGACCGGCCTAAATTCAAACAACGTAAGAGAAATGCCTAACATTAAGTTTAAACTTCACAAAAATATAATTAAAGCGATAATATCCAGAATCAACAATAAAAGACTCAAACCTTGTCTGGATGGTGTCTGAGAGCTGCCTTGTGGTAAGCCTTTTTTATATCAGTCGCCGTATCATTGGGTTTGACTCCTCTGGTATAAACAAGTACAAAGATATTAGAACTTGGAAGCTTTACCTTTGCAGTCATGAATCAAAGAAAATTCATCGACTTGCCTGGAAATATTTTGACAGTTTTGCTAATGATTCAATTTGCTTTGTTGAATGAATCCATTTGAAAACAATTAGCTCATGACAAAATTATCAAAGATAATATGGTTTTTATACAGAATGTTCTGGCATCCCCTTAAGGTTCCACTTCCCAGTACAATGACTTCGTCATGCAGGGGCGGGGGTCAAGGGTCATTTGGATTTAACGTGCATTCAATTTGTGCATTTTTGGCCGCACAACCAAATAAAATATGTATACTAGATTAAACCTAGGCAAGTCATAAGATAATAACTGATGAGAAAGCTCCAATTATATAAAGTACTTACAGAATAAGGTAAAAGTCTAAGGGAGTTTGCTTTTTGGCTTTTTCTTCCACTGAAAGCAAATGATGACGCACTTGCCTAGATTCTTTCACAGCTCCATTTGACCCATCTGGTGTGCCAGATTGCTTGTTCCTTTCACCAGATTGATTTTCAAGGACGGAAAGAAGTCTACTGAGGTCACAAGCTGCTTGCTCAAAGTCTCTCACCGTCTCATGTAAGGTAGCTCTTCTTGAGATTGCCTAAAAAGGGTACCATCAGATGACCTCCCCACTCGTAAATAACAATAAAGTGGAAAACGACTTTTATCTAGAGAGAACAAAATAATGCAATCTCGCAAAATATTATGACCTGTTTTAAGAAGGAAAGTTCAATATACATAGCAGTCAAATACACTGTTTAAGTGACAACAAGCAAATTAAGGATAAACTCTACAAGCCCTGTCAACGTTAAGCAACCTATATAGGGTGCCTTGCTAAAATCATAAGAAAGACTGTCCATGATAAATTAATTTATCATAAGTCGTATCATAATAAAAATACAATAGCCCAGGAAACTCATTGACTGTCCAAAGTTCCTATTTTTCAGACAAGTTAAGCTAGCCTCTAGGACATGGCATCTAAAAGGAGGGAAAATCTCAGTACTCATTATTATTTCCCCTAATGATGGGGTTTGAGAAAAGCATACCTTAGCATAATTTCCATCAAGGGCCATAGCCACACTGCAGTCTGAAATGGCATCAGCGATTTGCCCCAAAGCTTGATATGCTGCAGCACGATTGCAGAAACATATTGCCGCAAAAGGCCGTGACTTGATGTTGCTAGACAAAGCAACAGTATATTCCTCAATTGCTTCTGTATACTTTTTTACCTTAAAATATTCATTTCCTGCATTCTGTTATCAATAAGAATAATGAGGACACAAGATATCCCTAAAAATTGCTAATAACACCTGGAATTAGTACAAACCATCCCACTGAAGTGTGAAAAAACAAACCAATCTAATCCCATGTGTAAACATGAGTTAAGAATATCAGATTAGAATAAATCTTAAAAAAACAAACAATTAAAGAATAACCTCTAGTGACACAATTTAAAAACGGGAAAATAAGGCATTTGAGAAGTACTTGATGCTATGATGGGATTCTTCTCTATTCACATGGATGTCTTCAATAATTATACTTGACAAATTTTAAAGAAAGTACATGCCATCAATGATGTAGGAATTATAACAGAGGGAAGTACAAGCTTTTATCCACCATGAGTGCATGACACCTAAACATGACAACAATATTGTATAGCATTTGATAATTATCGTTTGGACATCAACGAAAGAAAATTAACATTTAGAAATTACCTTGTGTGAAAGAAGGTCTCGTATTGTAGCAGCTAATGACAATGAATATTCAATGTCATCACCAAACCTGGATAAATGAAATGACTATCAAACGCATGTAGCATTCAAAAAATATTTTGATTGTAATATCAAACTAAAGAATGAGCATGCTTGATGAATTTTGAATTACTTGTTGAGGGACACAGCTTGCTGTAACTTCTCAAGAGCATTAAGTGATGCTTCAAGCCTTCCCACATGAAAGTGACACTTGGATATCAATGACCACCTCCACAATGTGACACATAAGTTACTATCATGTGCGGAAGTATTCACATTCTCTGCACCGGTTGCCAAATTTTTTTCCGCAAGAATTTGGGTCTGCTCACAAAGCTGTATTGCAGCATCATACTTTTGTAGCTGCAATATATCCCCAGAAATAGACATAACTTTATCAGCCAAATAAAAAAAAAAATCAATAAGAAAAAACAGAAAACATATAGAAGAAAGAGGGCATAAGGATGTATTACACGACTATTTTAATAGAAACGTACCAAATACAAAGCCTCTGCCTTCATTTGAAGCAACTTTTCTGAGTATAAACTGATTGACAATGCCTTAGAAATTAGTTCTAAAGCTTCACCAGCTGCATCAGAAACCTTCTTTTTCAAGAGTTCAGAAGCACTATTCGTACACTCGGCCACATCCTGTTAACATGGATAGTCATTTGTTAGACATCTTACAAAATGAAAAGACAACACTCAAGTGAACAAAGGAAGAAAAGCAGAAGTGAACATTAACTACTGACTGACAACTGATAGTACTAATAATGAATAGTAATACAAAGTTATCAGGAAAGGAATCAATCATTAATAGTTTGGCAAGAAGGATTTTTAAAAAGCATGCATTATACTTGAGTTACCTCAGTTGCCCTAGCCACACAGAAGAGAACAATTGACATACCTGAGCTTTCTGCAGACCTTCAGCTGCTTCCACAATAACTCTCCGGTCCAAACAAAAGTCACTGCTTGATTCCAAGCACTTATTGAAATACTGCTGAGCATTTTCCAGTTCTCCTAGCAAAAGGTAACATCTGGAGAAGAAAATCACATTTCATTACTACAGGGACAGAAGTCACCAGAAATCATCTTACTTCAAAATCTAAAATGAGAGGGGCAAAACCAGTACTTTGCAGTTCTCATATGTACTTTCAGAAAGGTGGAGTCAAGAGCAGAAGCCACAAGGCAATCCCCCAGAGCTTCCCTAATCCTTCCAAGACCCATTCGTGTAGCTGCACGGTTGCTATAGCACAGTGAAAGAGACTCGTTCAAGCACCCTGACCTTTCACTTGGAGGGATCAAATTTATTCCAATTGTGTAGAAGTTCTCAGCTTGACAAAGATCCCCATGTTTATACGCTTCGTTTCCCCTAGATAGAGACATAGTTGCATACCGTAGATTTAAAAAAAAAATGAGTTTTTTTTTTCATGGCATCAAACAGAAATAGCAAAACAAAATTTCAGAGAAAATCAGTACCAAAATTCTAAAAAGTTAGGTTTTTAATTTCTTTATTTGTGTAAACGTTACCTGAGTTTCCACTTTTCACAGATTTCTTGAGTTGTAGCCAAGGATGCAAAATCCACTCCCTTCAACTGATCATTTTTTTCAGATCTATTCAGTGTATGATTCAGGTTCGGAGAGATACTAAATGAGTCAACTCCCACTTTCCTCCTATATTTCTTCTTCTCTTTACGCTTAGCTGATGAAACTGTACCCCCTCCAATTGATGGTGCAGAAAAAGTAAAATAATTTTGCGTTGAACCCCCAAGGCTGGGAGCAAAGGCAAACTGATCAGCACATGGCCTAAAGGCAACTCCAGCATCTGCACAATCTCCAGCTCTGCTACTGCTGAAGACCTGTTCTTTATTCAAACTAGGACAGGCTGCTTCAGAGCCAAATAATTGGGAATCACCAACAGAAGAATTTGCATTACTTGATGATGGGTTACACTCATTTGGATCTCCATATTTGTAATCATGAGCATAAATATCTTCTCTGTTCCCTGCAGCAGCCAAATGTTCATCTTTATAATCAGAGGGAATGGGAATTTTTGAGGGCACATGGTCATGGTCTGAGATTGATGGTTCATTTAACTGCGCTGAAGCTTTAATATCTTGATCATCATCTCTTATTTCATGATAAGGAGAAAAATCCATGGGTGAGTAGCTACCACAAGAATCTGGGGTATCGAGCGAACCACTTCCCTTTAATGCTTGATCTTTCTTTATCAGTTTCTTGTTCAATAAACGTGACTTCGATTTTCTCCTCACCTCTTTTGCTCCTCTTTCTTTAGAAGATCTGCCCTTTAGTGTGGATCCTACCTTTTTATTTGATGCAGGAAATAAATTTTCTTTAAAACAAGAAGGATCCCATGTTGGTGGTTCAAAATCTGTTAACTCCTTAGGTCCTCCAGGGATGTTTGTAAAACCGTTATAACACTTATCTTGATCTACACCCATGGCATGGTTTGCACAGACATGACTATTTGATTGAGAGTCAAGACCAAATGATGAGAATGAAAATGACGCTTTAGCTTCATTCACTAATGAATCTTCAGGTGGTTGACACTCAGGAATTTTGCCCGAGTCACTTTCCTGACTAGAGGATGGCTTAGAGAAGGATATTCCTGCAGAACCATAGGCAATATCACAACCAATTCCACTTTGAACATCATTTCTTTTACATGTTTTGAACCCATCAATATTCTTTAAAGCAACATTAGGACACTGTTGAACGTCAGCATTAGCTCCTGAACTTGCACTAAAGGAGACAGCAGCCTTCTCACTTCTTCCAAACACAGAACAATTGTTACTATTTACACATGAATCCTTTAAATCTCTATCGATATCAGCGCCACTAACTTTTTCAGAATTATCTATATTCAACCTTTTCATTTCATCTGTCAAACTATGAGCAGGGAAAGTGCTATGAGTATTAGCAGTACTACTAGTACATCCAGATCCGCTCTGATCATTGCTTAGATGGTAATCCTGATCAGGATGTATATTACTATCACTAAATGTCCCATTCTTGGGATTTAAGGAACCCATATCACAATTTGACTTTCGCATACTGTCAAGGGACTCCTGCTTTTCGGCATTAGGATTTGATGTTTTACCAGTTTGGCTGCCACCAAAAAAGAAAACAAAACTATCCTTCTTTACAAACTCTTTTTCAGCCTTGCAATTCGTCTCCTCGCCATTATCAACGCCTGAGTCCTCCACATCTTTACTACATACTGCCTTCACGATATTTAAGTTAGAGTCTGAATCCTTTTGATCAGGACAATAAACAAAACCCGAACAACTAATCTTCCTATGTTCGGACTCCAAATCCAATTCCGCGTTTCTTATTTCGCCAAGAACTGTCTTTACTAAATTTTCACTGGTTTTTGTTCTGTCCTGGCATGAATTTGATCCCATGTCACTCCGCTTAGCATTAAAGATAAACCCCAAGTGATCACTTTTCCTAATCTCCGTTTCTTTCTCATTTGTTACTTTCCCTCTGTCAAGGGAGAATCCCAATTCTTCTTTAACTAAATGCTGGGAATTTAAATTTGCAGCAAGCTCACTTCTCTGAGCACCAAACACAAAACCAGTGTTCTGGAACTTCGAGTGACAATTTAAGAAGCCCCCATCACCAGCTCCGGGATCGTTCTCTGCCCCGGTAGGACTTTCCATAAACCCATTTGCACAATTATAACTGTTTACCTGATCCGAGCAACCAACCGTCGGCCGAAATGGATTAAAACCTGAACTTCCCTCAGCGGTGGCTGTTCTACTTCTGGACCTTGCATGCTGAGATGCTGACTGCTTCCTGAGCTTCACCAGCCTCGGCCTCGGCCTAGACGAAGCTGTTGAACCTACACCCGATAGTCCAGGCTGAACAAAAGCCGGGGCGAATCCGAGGCCGCTGGCATTACCGAAAGCTGAAGGGTTTAGGCTTTCATCTCTCTTAGAGAAATGAGCATAGCTAAAAGACGAGTGATCGAAAGGGGGATGAGAGGTTGCATCGGGAATCGAATCAGGGTTTTGCATGGAGGACGGTTGGATCGGAGATCGCAAGCGCACGGCCGCCGCCGGCGACATTGAGGTGGACGGAGAAGGGGCGGGGAGAATAGGGTTTTGCTGGACCCTTAAAATTGTGCTTTTCGAAGTTCAAATTCACACTCACCTTCGGAAATGGCCACGGATTTTCTTCCTCTTTATATAAGGTAAGAATCGAGTGCGAGGTTGAAGCAAAATGAAGCGTGTGCGGCAGAAAACCCAGCATGAACGTTATGGTATTTCCTTGTGATTTAACGCCCCGGAAAAATTAGTTGGGAAATTGAGGGTGATTAATATTAACGTTGTACATGGTAACTGTGAATCAGTGATACTCTCAACACTTTAAATTATAAGATATTTTAGTGTGATTTACCTTTTCAAAATATTAAACTGCTATGAGAATATTAAAATTTTATTAGATAAACTTATTTTAATATTATTTTTTGTCTCTTTTCATTTAATACTAATTAAATATAAATTCAATGTTATTAAATAAAAATATTTTTAAAAGTGTATATTTTTATTTTGAAAAAATAAAATTATTAAATATAATGAATGAAGTTTATTGGCATGTAAAATTTTATTTAAAAATATTTTATAATTTAGGATAGACGGAGTATTTGAAACCTGAATTATTAATTATGAATGAAATTACTGAAATATTATCTTTTCTTTACCTGAATTAAATTATCATCATAAACTGGTAGATGTTGGTTTGGGCAGTACTAGCTTAATAACTAACTCTTTATATTATTTTCAATTTCATTAAATTAAATATTAATCATGTCTAGATCATAAAAGACATGCAAAATTTGCTATCATCTTTGTTGCCTTAGTTGAAAGAACTAACACTAACACAGTTAAAATTTTATACTGATACATTCCAACAAATCATGTTATTACTATTTACAACTATTTAGAGGTGATGGCTTGCTGTTGAAATATTTTGTAATGCACCACTCATCATCTAGTTTGAAACTTAATACTTCATAGTTCATATGATAATATATGGACATATTTAGGTTGATGGAGCTATGGAAGTTTAAGGCTTCCGTCTCTTTTTTTTCCTCGTCAGTTTTCACTACTTCTATTTTTGGTTTTTATGAAGATACTTATTTGGAATGCTAGTAGGGGAAATGGGAAGAAATTTGCTCACTCTCTCAAAGAACTTAAAAGACAGTTTCGTTTTGATGTTATTTGTATTATGGAACTTAGGAGTAGTGGCACCAAGGCTCTAACAGACTGATTGTAGGTTGGGTTTTAATGAAATTGTGGAGGATGATGGTTTTGAAAGGGGCATTTGGCTATGTTGGAATAATCCTAATTTAAATATTACCACTTTAGATAAATAGAGTCAATTCTTACATGTCCTATTTGATAACTCTTTTAAAGCTTGGGAACAATTTTTTCATGTATGCTAACCCTCATAAAGCTAGGAGGCATGATCTTTGGGCTATCCTTAAGGGTGAAATTTCACATTATTAGAGACCTTGTCTTTTTATAGGAGATTTCAACGAAATTTCCACTATCAGTGAACAAAAAAAGGGGAGGAAAAGTGAATAAGACTAGATGTGAGGCTATCCGAAACTAGATTAATGACTACAATTTCATCAACTTTCAATCTAGTGGACCTCTGTTCACTTGGCAAGGTCTAAAATGGAGGAACTTAGAAAGAGTGTTCAAGAGGTTGGATGAATATTTATGTAATGTTAGCTTGGCAGACCTCGTTCCACTTAGCTTATGATAGGGTCCTTCCTCATATCAACTCCAATCACCACCCTATTATGATGGGCCTGGAATATAATAAAGGTAGGAAGGTGAATCGACCTTTTAAGTTTGAAGCAGCATGTCTTACCTATAAGGGGTTTAAGGATTTTCTCAATAATATTTGGAACAATACTACTAACACTAACCATAATCTCAAGGCAATTCAACTTAAGTTGATTGATTGGAATAATGAAGTTTTTATTAATATTATTAGAAGGAAGGAAAGACTCCTAAATAAATTGGGGGGTATTCAAAAGGCGTTAAATAACCAAAATAACCCTTATCTTGAAGACTTAGAGCTCAACTCTCCTAAGAGTTAGAGTTGAAACTGGCTCAAAAGGAGCTTATATGGTATCTAAAGTCTAGAGTAGAGTGGATTACTCAGGGGGACCGTAACACAAGGTACTGTTATAACATTATGGAAAATTTAAGTTAAGGTTAGTTAGGTAATTAAAGACAAATTAGATAATTGAGAGTTAACACGGATTAAAAGATAATGCAGGGACAGCTAATCGGTCTATTGAATCCTAGTTAAAGCTTAGAATTGGACTTAGATACTATTGGGTCACATTTGGGCCCAATTAGATGGATAGTATTCAAACTTTGGAATTTTGATCTTTGGTTGCAGCCAAAGATTTATTGGCCGCAACCAAAACTCAATTTTTAAGCCTTTAGATTTGCATTTTAGCTCAAAAAATTAGAGAGTTAAGTTGGAGTCTGAAGGTGAATGAAGAGGGCTCCATTAGAGTTTATTGTAGACGTTTAATTGAATCTATTTGGATCTTATAATCATTTAGATAAGTGCCTATAACTTCTTCCTTTCCTATCTCGTGCATTTTCATCATTGTTTTTAGGTAGTTCTTTGAGAATCCAAAAAAAGGTTGTGACTTTGCTTAGAATTCTGACTTCAATGGGATTAATGAATGTTTATTTAAGTATATAATCTTTGGATTATGGTGCTAATGAAGTTTTAGGATTCAAAAGTGAGGTTTGAAGTAAACCTTAGAACTAATTAGTTAGCTAAGAAGGTTATGTGTTATTAATGGTGTTGAGAGACTAATAGGAGTTTAAGTGAATTAATAGAACCTAAAAAAAGATTTGGTTGCGGGTAAATGACCCCAATAGGACTTTTAAGTTTAGGCTTTGACTAGAGTTAATTAAAGATAATTAGTCATTAATGATTATTGATGTGGTTAATTGTAAATTAACCACTGTTAGTGCTATTGAGCTAATTGAAGGCTTTATTTAATATTTACTGGTATTTTTGATTGGTAAACCAAGAGTTAAGGTAACTAGAAATTTAAGTATAGTATATCATTGTGTTTGCATTTACACTTTAAGCATTATGACGGATAAATTGAAATGAGTTTATGAATAAATATGTTGATTTTGAACTAATATCCAAATATAAAACATGACTTATTGTGATGAAGTATTTAGTGATTATATTTATATACATGTTAAGCATGGATTGCTTATAAGATGAATGTATCAACATGATGAGTGGTTGTAATTGATGATGTTGGAAGAGATGTGGTAAGCATGCATATTTGTGATGAAATGCTTGATGATTATGTTTATAGAGATGTTATTTGGTATTTAAAATGTGAATTATGGGCCTAGATTGGCTATAAGTTGATTATATAACCAGCCATTGTAAACTATAATGTGGTGTAAACTGTGATAAGCATGCAAGCTCTAGAAATTATGAGGATGATGAATTACTATGATATGCATGAGTTTATATTCGCATTTGTTGATTGAACTTACATGATCATAATAGGTGGGAGTTCACTTTAACATAATAGAGGGATTATGATAGAAAATACACATGGTGTAGCCTTCACTGAGTTTACGCATAATGGTTGGCATACTTCATTACTTTATGTTCTTTGTATTGCCAACAACCTATGAGTATGGTATGGATCGGGCATGATGCTCAGTATCACCAATCTTAGATTGAATAATGTGAGTCGGGCACTTATGACACCTTGAAATTCGAGTAAGGAGAATCCACTGTCTGAGAGTAAGTGTGAGAGCTTTTGGCTGAGCAACCCCCCAGAATTGGAGAGCAGGGCTAGTCTAGTCACATGGGCTAGACCTATATAAAATAATAGCATATGGATTCAGTCAAATGATATAAGGAGTGGTATAAGATAATTGCATTTGATCATGCGAAATACATTATAAAGATTCATTATGAATAATGTTGGTTTGCCTTATGTGATATTAAACGCTTAATTGTTATAATTGCAATACTTTAATATGCTTAATTAAAATTACTGAGATGTATATCTCACTCCTGTAATTTAATGTTTACAAGTAAGAATCAAGTTAAGAACAATAGGAAGGCCTCTAAAGCTAGAGACCAATTAATCAATTATAATGTCTCTAGTTTTATCTTTTATGTGTAATTTGAATACAATATTTTTCTATTAGGGGTCTTTCATATTGATTTATGTTTATTTGAAGTCAACTTGTATTTGTAACCTTAAATATTATATTTGGTCATTTTTGGATTATATAAGCCATAGTAGGGTCCAAATCTCTAATTTGACTATGGTAGTGTGCCAAAATAGTTTGAACAAGTATATTTTCACTAGTTAAATGAAATTTACATGTTTTGGGTGATTATTTAGCTTGAATGCAAATGATTACATTTTCACCCCCTCGTTTTATGCTTTATGGTGGTTGGGTGGTCAATTATTGTACTAGGAGTTGTTTGATGCTTATGACTATTTAGACAAGTGTATTAGAATTATTGAGTGTGGTTCAAGCCCTTGTGAGGGCTAATGGCTTATGGTGTGAGTTTGGAGACTCAGTTGATGGTTTTAGAAGTAACAATATGAAATTATGGTCCCAAATGTCTAAATTTTTCATCTAATGTCAATGACATGAAACCAAAATCATCAGCTACATTATGAAATTGTTGATGTGTGGGTGCTCAAAGCACCTCAATCAGAGATCCAAGTAAAAAGTTATTTGTGTCGGAAGTTCGTAATTAGGTAACTATCATGACAGTATACCTTTGGCCACAACTTATAGATCTTTGACTGCAGCTAAAAAGACTTCCCAAAACCATTTGGCTGTAGCTAAAACTTCATTAGAAGTGTTGGACAAAGCTTAATGTTCTTTGGCTGCAGCTAAGTACCCCTGTTAAGCAAAAATGACACTTTTTTTACCTCATTTGACTTGTTTTCAACTCTAATTATTTTTCATGCTTCCCAAACACTTTTTACTCTGATTTATAACAGCTAAATAACCTTTTAAGCTCAAATTTGAGATTTAGTGATTTATGGAATCTCATCTCCACATGGTTTTCTTACTTAGCCTTTGAGTTTGTATATAGCCAATATTGATCCTTTTCTTTCCATGACATCTTTTATTGTTAAATTAGTTATAAATATCATGGTAGCTTGCCTTAAGGTTAACTATGTCATAATTATGTGTTTAATTATTGAAGGTTTTACAACTAT